AATGATTGAAGGCTGCAGCAACAATCTGCGTGTTCTGTTCTCAACAGTTAATAGATTAACAAACCCCCCTGTTCAAATGCCATTAGAGCTTACTTCTATTAGTATTAGATAGCAATATGGCCTACGTGCAGGACTCTACAAGGACTCTACAAGGACTCCATGTTATGACTATGATTTGACTGTCTCTTTGTGACACGTATGTCTTTCGATGTGTGACGTGACAATGACTATATAAACTGTGTACTGCCTTTATTCTGTCTGAGGAAAAGAAACAGAGTAAACCAGTGGAACTTGAGAGCAACTTAAATAAACTTCCAGAGTTTGGCACACCACGATCCGTCTCTGTCTGCTTAAATCCTAACAGATTTGGTGGAGAATGCGCGGCTCGGTTTGTGCCATTCTCTGGATTGTTTTGGGGGAGTTTTGCTCTGTTTCTTTTCCTCTGCGTGGGAGATCGGCATGCTGTGTCTGGGAGTGGAGATTCCAGCAGGCTGGAAGAGCTGTTCCTGGATGCTTCTTGTCGCTTCTGTCACTTTTGTTTTTTAAATTGAAGATTCCGACGCGGAAAAGAGTTGGCAGACCTCTCGGACAGCCCGTGCGCACCTCTTTGACAAGAATAAGGTAAGCAGACACCTTTTTAAATGTAAAGTCTGCATAATTGGATACTAGCTAAATTTGGGTGTGTTTTTGAGGTCTGTCGAACTCTCTAACTTGTGTTCAAATAAGTGTTGGCCATTAAAGTGAATAGGATCCATAAAGTGAAAAGTGTTGGCCATTAAAGTGAATAGGATCCATAAAGTGAAAAGTGTTGGCCATTAAAGTGAGGATCCATAAGTGAAAAGTGTTGGCCATTAAAGTGTAAAGGATCCATAAAGTGAAAAGTGTTGGCCATTAAAGTGAGGATTTGGTGTCGGACGTTAGTAAAAGTCCCATCATCCATCCATACTTTACCCTTTAATCCATTTCTGGGTAGGGGGGTGGCAATCAGAGGATTGCCACCAATCTCCTAAGCACCAGCCCTCACTGACCCTTGCAGGTGGTGAAGTCACAGGATATCTATCTCTCTCTATATCTATATCTATCTATCTATCTCTCTATCTATCTATCTCTCTCTATATATACAGTATATATCTATCTATCTCTCTCTATATATATCTATCCATCTATCTCTCTGTCAGTCTAACAGGAGCATCCAGAACTGGCTTCTTGCAATGTGAAGGAGCAGAGACTCTATTCTGAGCTCCTTACAGTACATTACCTCTAAAGTAGCCATGCCGTGAAGGAAAACTCATTTTGACTGTTGTCTCCAGGATCATCTCTTCTGTCATCGCTTCAGACAGTTTTTTACGTGACAGATGACTGTTGGTCATTGTTTGGACGATAATAGTTAAAGGGGCGTCTGAACAGTGTTTTTTATGTGACATCATTAATTACCCGTGCTGTGTGACCTCTCCTTTAAGAGTAAACAGAGTGGACTGTCCCAGCCTCTCTCCCGCAGAGCACTGACCCTTTGTTCTCCCTCCTCCTGTGGGACACTTCCACTCATCCTCTATTCTTCCTTTCTGGGCCTTCCCTCTCCCCCAGGCGCTTCACACACGCACACAGACACGCACACACACACACAGATCCACACACACAACTCATCTCAGTCCCAGTTACTTATTTTAGGGAATAGGCTCCAGTCCACTTGCTCTAGGAAATGTGTAGTTAATCCAGATTTTTGACTTTTTACTGTGTATTTTTACTGTTTCGTTGTGTCTATTTTGCACATTCTTCTCATTTCTGGGCCTTTCCTCTCCTCCAGGCGCTTCACACACATACACATACACAGATACACACTCACACGCATACAGAGGGAGAGACGCACACACACACACACAGATACAAACACACTCATAGAGAGAGAGACACACACACATACACACACACACACACACACACACTCTCAACACATCTCAGTCCCAGTTTAGGACCAGTCTTCGCTGTCCCACTGACAGGATCCAGAATAAGACGCTGTGATCTGGTCCATAATGTAGGCCAAGGCAAGTTTATTTGTATAGCACAATTTCATACACAAGGCAACTCAAAGTGCTGAACAAAATAAGAGAGCATTAAAATCATAAATAATCACATTAAAAAGAAGATAAAAAATATTAATAATCCCTCAGTTGTATTCACAGCTAAACAGAACTCTTTCAACCTGTAATGTTTAACACGTTTAATGCCGTGAATCTGGAAAACTTCAGCTCTGGGGAATTTCCCGTGTTAATATTTGACGTATAAATCACAGAGCAGTAAAGTTAAGGCGTAAGGGAAGGTTCAAGTTTGGTTTTATACTGATGAGGCTCTTGTCCCTGTGGCTCAGATCACTGCAGTGGCTCCAGACACTTTCTTGTTGATATCATACATTCTCAAAGTAATGTGAACAACAGGGTCCAGAATCAGACGTCGTCCACAACTGGGAAGGCTCCAATAAAACGGAAACTGAACAAACGTTACTTTCTCAGCTCTTTATGTGCAGATATGAAGCTGCAGAAAGTCAGCTGCAATCCTATTCTTTGTATTTTTTTGCTTATCAGTAATAATACAAAAATGGGACCAGTGTGACTCTCCATCTCTGTTATAACTAATAACCATTCTTACTGTTACTGATCCAGGAGATGTTATGGTATTGGTTGAACCAATGAACCTATGGACCTAACCTGGTAAGAGCCAGATTGATGATTGTGAAGAACTCTAATGCGTTCTCCACAATATCAATCTGGGACTTCTGCAGTAGAATCCTTTCGGGAAAGGAGGGATAAGCAGCAGAATACTTCAAGCTGATTGGGTGAAGTGACGCTGTGTGCCCGCCTACCAGGTTGCCGTCCAGAAATGCACAAAGCGCCTCTCGCTGTTCATCTTTCAAAAAGAAATTGGAGATTCTGCTAAAACTGACTTGATAGCCTCACTGCGTCCGTCCTCCTGCGTAGGCTGTAAACCCGGATATCCCACCCTAAACCCCCAGACTGGCGCGTGATTGGCTTGAACACCTAAATGTTCTACTCGAAAAGACCCAGGACTGAAGCTGTGTAGACCCAGGACTGAGGCTGTAGACCCAGGACTGAAGCTGTAGACCCAGGACTGAGGCTGTAGACCCAGGACTGAGGCTGTAGACCCAGGACTGAGGCTGTAGACCCAGGACTGAGGCTGTAGACCCAGGACTGAGGCTGTAGAGCCAGGACTGAGGCTGTAGACCCAGGACTGAGGCTATAGACCCAGGACTGAGGCTGTAGACCCAGGACTGAGGCTGTAGACCCAGGACTGAGGCTGTAGACCCAGGACTGAGGTTGTAGACCCAGGACTGAGGCTGTAGACCCAGGACTGAGGCTGTAGACCCAGGACTGAGGCTGTAGACCCAGGACTGAGGCTGTAGACCCAGGACTGAGGCTGTAGACCCAGGACTGAGGCTGTAGACCCAGGACTGAGGCTGTAGACCCAGGACTGAGGCTGTAGACCCAGGACTGAGGCTGTAGACCCAGGACTGAGGCTGTATGTCCTGATGATGATGTATGTGAAACCTGATTGGTGCAGGATGTGAAGAGGGAAGAATACCAGAAGAAAACAAACTTGTCACATCTTTAACGATGAACTGTGCTGCTCTAGTGTGAGGCTATTTTTTTTATCTTCGTTGCTTTGTGCATCACAAATACTGTTGTTCCAGTTCCAGTATGTATCACAGAGATCAGCACGAGAACACTCTGCGGTTGTTTTTGACTATTCTATCATATTAAAAAAAAAAACGTGTTTGTTAAAAAGTGAGCTACACAACAGAGCAGGGCCATATTGAGGCGGTCTGCGTTCTCACCAGCAGCGAACCAGACTGGAGTCCACATGGAACCGTACCGAGACCAGCTCCCTAAGGTGGTCTCGGTACGGTTCTTTAGTCCGGACCAAATTTAATTGGTCCACTTTCACACCTGCTCAAACGAACCGTACTTGCAGGTGTTCCAGACTCCAGTCCGTTTTAAGTGGACTAAATGTTGCAGGTGTGAAAGCACCCTGAGGCTCTCTCTGGTCTCTCTCTCTGGACCCAGGACTGAGGCTGTAGACCCAGGAGATAGAGGAAGGGGAGGAGGGAGAGAGAAGAGAGAGGGGGGAGAGAGGTGGAGAGGAGAGAGAGAAGAGAGAGGGGAGAGAGAGAGAAGAGATAGAGGAGGAAAGGAGAGAGAGAAGAGATAGAGGAGGAAATGAGAGAGAGAAGAGATAGAGGAGGAAATGAGAGAGAGAAGAGATGGAGGAGGAGAGGACAGAGAGAAGAGATAGATGAGGGAGAGAGAGAAGAGATAGAGGAGAAGAGAGAGAAGAGATAGAGGAGGGAGAGAGAGAAGAGATAGAGGAGAAGAGAGAGAAGAGATAGAGGAGGGAGAGAGAGAAGAGATAGAGGAGAAGAGAGAGAAGAGATAGAGGAGGGAGAGAGAGAAGAGATAGAGGAGGAAAGGAAAGAGAGAAGAGATAGAGTTGGAGAGGAGAGATAGAAGAGATAGAGGAGGAGGGAGAGAGAGAAGAGATAGATGAGGGAGAGAGAGAAGAGATAGATGAGGGAGAGAGAGAAGAGATAGAGGAGAAGAGAGAGAAGAGATAGAGGAGGAGGGAGAGAGAGAAGAGATAGAGGAGAAGAGAGAGAAGAGATAGAGGAGGAGGGAGAGAGAGAAGAGATAGATCAGGGAGAGGAAAGGAGAGAGAGGAGGGAGCGGGGAGGAGAGAGAGAGGAGTATTTTTCCTAACAGGATGATGAAGCTGTTTCCTCTGTGGAGATGTGACCAAACACTGATGAACAAAAATCAATAATAACAAATACTTGTGTTTTAACATTTATTGTTTATTGACTTTTCTCCTGGAGTTGAACATTACGTAAATAAACTGTTACAGGAGATACAGAAACAGTGCTTTGCTCAAGGACACAAGGACAATAATAAATAACACACAGCACTTGATTAAAGTTTGGTTCAGAGGAAACTTCACATCGGCGTCTCCGCTTTGGGTGTGTCCCCAGCCAAGTTGGAATATGGGGCAACTGGGGAGAGGGGAGAGAGGGGGAGGTTAGAGGAGGTCTGTGTGAGGGAGAGGGGGGAGGGGAGGTCTGTGTGAGGGAGAGGGGGGAGGGGAGGTCTGTGTGAGGGAGAGGGGGGAGAGGAGGTCTGTGTGAGGGAGGGGAGGGAGAGGAGGTCTGTGTGAGGGAGAGGGGGGAGAGGAGGTCTGTGTGAGGGAGGGGAGGGAGAGGAGGTCTGTGTGAGGGAGAGGGGGGAGAGGAGGTCTGTGTGAGGGAGGGGAGGGAGAGGAGGTCTGTGTGAGGGAGGGGAGGGAGGGAGGTCTGTGTGAGGGAGGGGAGGGAGGGAGGTCTGTGTGAGGGAGGGAGGGAGGGAGGTCTGTGTGAGGGAGAGGGGGGAGAGGAGGTCTGTGTGAGGGAGGGGAGGGAGAGGAGGTCTGTGTGAGGGAGAGGGGGGAGAGGAGGTCTGTGTGAGGGAGGGGAGGGAGAGGAGGTCTGTGTGAGGGAGAGGGGGGAGAGGAGGTCTGTGTGAGGGAGGGGAGGGAGAGGAGGTCTGTGTGAGGGAGGGGAGGGAGGGAGGTCTGTGTGAGGGAGGGGAGGGAGGGAGGTCTGTGTGAGGGAGGGAGGGAGGGAGGTCTGTGTGAGGGAGAGGGGAGGGAGGGAGGTCTGTGTGAGGGAGGGGAGGGAGGGAGGTCTGTGTGAGGGAGGGGAGGGAGGGGAGGTCTGTGTGAGGGAGGGAGGGAGGGAGGTCTGTGTGAGGGAGGGAGGGAGGGAGGTCTGTGTGAGGGAGGGAGGGAGGGAGGTCTGTGTGAGGGAGGGAGGGAGGGAGGTCTGTGTGAGGGAGGGAGGGAGGGAGGTCTGTGTGAGGGAGGGGAGGGAGGGAGGTCTGTGTGAGGGAGGGGAGGGAGGGAGGTCTGTGTGAGGGAGGGGAGGGA